GTTTTCAAAAGTCTCGTTCATAAACTGAATAAAACTGTTAATAGCTGATGTGGTGGAACTATTTTTCCTAAAACCAAATTGTGTGGAGCAAAATAAATTATAAGCCTCAAAGTATTCATTACTTTGATGAAGTAGTGGAGCCTCGCCAAGACAATGCCAGAGCTTTCATGGGTCAACATCGGATCAACCAGTTTACCTTGGCCACCACGATCGCCTGACCTATCTCCAATTGAACGTGTCTGGGATATGACAGGTCGCAGGCTCTTGAATTTGTAACACCCTCCACAGACTTTAGCAGCTCTTACTCACGACGTTGCAGTAGCCTGGAATAAGAAACCTCAGCAGGATATCGACCACCTTATCAGCATGATCACCAGGCGTATAAGTGTATAAGAAATCGTGGATCCTCAACACACTATTAAACCAGCTTCTGCAGTCAGTTGACGAATCAAGCTGAAACTTTAATCATAGTACTAGTAAGTGACACTGAACATGTATGCCGAAAATTATTAAAATCGGATAAATATACGTAGGTGTTTACCTTTTTTTTTCACTCAATTTAGTAATGAAGAAGTGTCTGGCTCCTGAGGAGGATATTGTGACACAAACAATCTAAAACGTGGAGCAACTTCTGCATTCCTAATAAAGCCCTTGATCTCCCGTGTGCAGATATAACCCCCACATACCATAAATGTTTAGATATGATCGCCAACAACTTACAAATAACCTTGAATATTCATGCTGCACCAGCGACGTTGTGTAATCCTCAAACTAAGTACACCCTAAGTTCATTGTAAGTGCTGCAAATATTTTTGTTGAGGATTTCGGAGTACATGTTTGAGTTGAAGTTCAGCTTTCGGGCGTGTTAAGCACGCAGTCTGCAGTATTAGCGAATATAAGGCGCCGTCTTGGGTGGTGGGGGCACTGCTATTATAATGTAGTACGCGACGTGGCAATAAACTTTCAGAACTCATTCATCATTATGAAAGTCTCACGTACTCCATAACTGTTAAACCATTTAACTTTGGTCTATGCATACAGAAGTTAGATATGTTCATGTCTGCTTTCCCTCTCTGTAACCACGGCCAACCACAGAAAGCGACGTTTCGTACAATTTAGCAACCCATCAGTGCGGTATAGGTCTAGTAGTCCTAGATGAACGGAAAGTAGTAAGTTGGTACTGTCATTTGAAAAATTCGAAATGATGTACAGAAGTAGGCGAAAGGTCTGACCCTGTGAATACCTGGTGTTCCCAGATGGGTCGACCGTTTTGGAGATGCGGCATCTATCTGTGCACTGCGCAAACATCGAGTAGATATCAGCCGGTAGCGTGGGGTCTTCCGTCGTCTTTCATAGTGTGTAATGATGAGATCAAGTTGCCAAATCATTTGTAGGTGGATGTTTCGCCTACTTCTGTTTAGATACATATGTACATGCGTATTCATTACTCAAAAAGTATACGAGAGATGTTTAATTCCATGATACATTCATTGTTCTTGAAAATCCATCTTCAATTTGACCAGTAATATTATGTATCAGCGTGAAATCATTTGAAGATAAAGTATTTTTTGGTTTGAGGAGTTTATATTTAACTTCTACTTACCTTTTGCGGATAGGTTTAATTTTTATAAAGACATAGTTAATTTTATATTATAGATACGTTGAATTAGTACTAGTTGATATAAGATGATCCTTCAAATACAGTATGTTACTACTAGTATTACACAGGCGACCATCATGTGTAGCACCAACGGCAACACTAGCTTGATGATACCTACCTAATGAAGAGATTATTTTTCAAGAAAATTAGCCAGCATTTCTGATATACAAATATATGGCAAAAATAGTGGTCCTTCTGACATTTGAACTATACTTATATTACATCCAAATAAAAAAGAAATATGATAGCAGTCTTTTATCTTGAAATGTGTGAGCGGCCCCAGGGGTTATCTAAAATCAAAAATAGCAAGAGGCCAAACAGCTTAAGCTTGAGTTGCACTTTGAAGTATTTACATTTACGCATAGTGATTTATAGAGTGTTCAAAATAGGGTAATTTATCAAGAGATTTTTTTAAACCTTAAGAGGGTAGGTTAGACTCATAAAGTACTTTATATTTCCCAGCCAATCGGATATGATCACTGATCAGATACCCATAGAACGCGACCATACAAACTGTCAATCTCATACTACGTTCGTCATATCTGAGAGAAGCCTAACATCTACGGCAGAACTAACTCATTCTAAAAACAAGGCGTGGAAGAACTGTCCGTATGTCTGTCGGTCCGGCAATCCTTGGCCCATCTATAACTTGGAAATTACTGCTCGGATTTGAATAAAATTTTCACACAAGGTTCCTAATATGCCAAGGATGAACAAGTTTCTGAAAATCGGTCCAGTAGCAAGCAAAGAAAAATACCAAAAGCGA